GATGGGAAAAACATTTTTTTTTTTTTTAAGTTTTTTTTTTTAACTAATCGCATGTAGAAAATAATTTCACTCAACATTTCCAAGAAGTAAGGACATTTGTTGGTTACATTCTCTGGTAGAGTTGAACTTGTCGTGAGACTTAGGGAAGCAAGTGTATCACATGGGAAAATACGTCAGTGTTAAACTTCAATCCTGAATGCCACCAGAGATGACCAGGGATAACAACTACTCCCCTGATAAAGCCCAATTTGGATTATAACTACAAGAAAATAAGATCTAATCCAAATAAATTAATAGTGCGTGACATTTCAGTAATAGCATTTTTACCATCATCAGACAAAAGAATAAATGAGGAAAAAATATCACAGCATGTTCTTAAATAGTACTGTTATCAAGTGTGTAAACAAAGATTTGAATTAGGTCTTATTTTCTTGTAGGTAGAAACTAATTCCAAGTTGATCATCTCTCTTAGCACTCAGAGAAACTTCCTTCTTTCTCTGCTCAAAGTACAAATCCAAACCTACCCAGCTCAGACTAGCCAGTATTTAGCAATATTGTCATTTTGATTTTCCTCTTGGCATCAATCCTTTCTAAAAATGGCTCAAAATAAGAAATAAGTCCATTTCCATAAAAAGGTTTAAAGTTTTTTTTTGCTCATCCCAAGTACACGTGGTACAGGCCATGATAATCATGGTGGGTAGTTAGCGACTGCTTTTACTGTAAGTGCACCACATGTCTACACATGTGAAAAGCAGTTCGACTTTGCACTTACTAATGCCAGAGCCCCCGTTTGGTTACTTGCACTCGCTGGTGGGGTTGGACTTTTGCAAGAATCGGGGTCCATTGGAGCATTTTTTTTCTTTAAACAGAAAAAAGTGTCCAATGCGGGAATCGAACCCGGGTCCTAGTGGTCGAAAACCAAACGGTTTAACCAGCCTTCCACCGACCCCCCGAAGTTTAAAGTAAAACTTGCCACCAGAGTTGACTGGGCCTTGTACATGCACTGTGTTGATAGGAAACTGTCAAACGAAATGACATGTCATTACACCCTATAACTGAGTTTATCCTAAATTAGCAGGGAGTGAACTCAATGTGTCTCAATCCTTTCTTTCCAGAGGGTGAAGAAATGTCCCCTCAACCAATGTCGCAACAGTGCTGAGAACTGCCCTCCCTTTGTCTTCTCCCCAAATGTCATTAGCATCGCTACAAGTGAGACTGCCCTGAGAGAACTCCCCATAATGCCTATTCCTGGTCTCTCTCATCAGAGGTTGTTGGATTAGACATGTCAGTTTTGAAGTGGGCATTCATCATAATATGAAAAATAGTACAAATGTGATATTGTACTGGGATAAGGTGCATAAATTAAGAAAAAGGCATCACCTTATCGTGCAAATGAAAGTTGCTGATGGCTTGCGCCATCTATCAGAATAAATATCAACTATTCTCGTTGATTTTTAATGGGTATTTGGCCAATTCTGGAATAATTAAAAATCAATGAGAATAGTTGATATTTATTCCGATAGATGGCGCAAGCCATCAGCAACTTTCAGTTGCACGATAAGGAGATGCCTTTTTCTTAATTCATCATAAGGTCGCTCATGGGAAGTTACTTGTGCTAAATGTGACAGTTTGTATATAATGATGAAGCACAATTTGGATTATAGATACAAGAAAATAAGACCTAATCCTGATAATTTAATAGTGTGTGACATTTCGGTAATAGCATTGTTACCATCATCAATTTATTCTGATTATGGTAACAATGCTGTCACCGAAACGTCACACACTATCAAATTATCTGGATTAGGTCTTATTTTCTTTCAGTTTGTATATAAGTATAGCAACATCAGACCACAATATACAGTATAACCTCGTTAATTGCCATAATTCGACCATTTTTTTCATGTCCCGACCTCCAGTCTATCAAGTAACCAATGTTAATTTGACCAAATGATAATTTGGCCCCATTGACAATTCAAACAAATCTTTAAAATCAAATTTTGACAGCATTAGATGAGTCGTGTTTAAATACAAATATTTATCATTAAAAATACAATACTTTGGTTACACAGGACATAGTGGCCATAGCATATGCACACCGTGTTTAAAAGTGTTGCAATGCATCACAAACATCGGTGCAGACTTCACATGCAATTTTTTGTTCCGCCAGGACAATTTAGGTCTAACTTAGGTAGCCACAAGTCACAGGCAGCAAACAATGAGGTGTCTTAGAGAGTGACATTCAGCTATTTCTTTATTACTTTATTTCGACTTAGAGCGGTATGTCCCCCTAGGGACACTTGCACTTTAAAAATAAACAAAATTTTTAAAGAAGAGAAAGAAAGATAGTTTAAATATGTACAGAATTAGTATGCAAGTTAGTTAGAAGAAAAGATAAAAAATATATATATCAACACAATTGATATATGTACAAAGGGTTGGTATACAAATTTAGTTAAATGAAATCAAATTGTAAACTATTGTGTTTATTCGAGAAAAGCAATTTACAGATTTTAAAAAAAAGTTTTAAAGAATATTTTATAATGAAAATATGCTAGATATTAGAGAATTATTCAGTTAAAACAATACTAAAAAGAGTTAATTACTAAATAAAAGAGTTCCAATAGAATTTAGTAGTTTATGTAAAACATATGGTTCTTGAATCAAAAGAATGTCAGGTGGGTCATCTCTAGTGTTGGCCTGTAGCTCACTTATCGCAGTAAAACTTTTTCTTAGATTTTGTTGAATACATCTCACATTTTCAATCATATAGGATATTAATCAATTTAAGATTGAGCTTCAAATTGTATTTGTTACATCATTTCCCTCGTATATTTGTGAATATTGTGTCCTTTGGATAATTCTGTCTATTTGTGATTTGTAAATCGGGCATTCACTTGAATTTGATTTATGGTTTGTAGAACTGTTTTTAAATTTAGGGTGCATAGAGCAATTGTGACAATTTGGTGATTCAGTACAGTTGTGGCTACCTTGTACACCGCATATTTTACATATTTTAATGTTTTGGCAGTCCTTTGTTTTGTGGTTCGGATTAAATTCAAAACAATTTTGGCATTGTCTTACAAATATTCTGTCTTGTGTAGACATCGCTCAAAATCGGTGTATATCTCATTACCCATTTTTCTTAAAATTTGGTAAACTTTAGGAGTACTCTTAATACTATATTGTGATATGGAGAGTTAGATCTCATTGTAAATAGAACTTTTATTTCATTTTCCAAATTTTCTAGATCATAATTCATTCTGCATATGGTTTGAACGAAGTTCGCCGTATCTGTAATTTTGGATATGTTTTTGACTACTATAGTTGGATCTCTTAGTGTCGGTATGTAAATTTTACTAATCAATAAATTCAAATCTTCTGATTTGTTTAATTCATCCAGTAGTATTTTATCATCAGTTTGGTTTGGAACCTTTATAATTACAGACTTTTTAGCATTTATAATTCTATTAATCTTAATATTTTTACCATTTTCTCTGACATTTTTAATATTATTAGAAATTTTTTGAAGTGCATCAGAATTAGGTTCACCATCATTTAAAGCCACAATTAAAGTAGATTCATCTTTGAATGACTGCTATTTTATTTTAATTAGTTCTGCTTCCTGTCGCACAACTTGAGCATAAGAAGGTGTCTGTTTCGGAATCTCTTTAAGAACTTTATCTAGTTTATTATCTATAGCCTTTTCTATTGTGTCGGTCAAACTATCTATTGTTTATTGTTTATTTAACTCAGATATAGATTCAATTCCATTTTTTGCTTGGTTAATCATTGAAGATAAGTAAGTTATATCATTTTTTGTTAGATTTTTTTTATTTTTTTTTAGTTTTAAATTTGTTATCAAAACATATTAATATTCCATCGAGTTTAACATCTATTGATTTCAAAATACAATTCATGTCTTCTGTCCAAAAGAAAAAAAGGAAAAAAAAAAGTAAAATCTTATTGAAGTGATATTAATACTATACTTATGATATAAATAACTTAGGACAGAAAAATATATAAGGTAATATTAAATTTAAAAGAGGAAAGAAAAAAGTACTTAGGTTAACGAGACGAGTGAAGCAAAACATGTCAGCACAGTTGGCTTCAGAAGCCATAACATTCAGCTATTTGAAATAACTTACAGAAGAGAGGAAAGACAAACATGCCTTTTGAAGATTGATCAGCTAGAATGCACACTAAAGAGGGTTCTAGCCTAAAGGCAAACAGCCATAAAAGATTTCAGTTTAGCCCTTTCCTTTAGTAATGAAATCTTGATTTTCTATCCAAAATGTCTAAGTAGGCTTAGTTCCATTCTTTGCAAACTTAGCTGTTGGATACTACTGACATTCTTTCTCTTGCACCAAAATGCTGATATAGATGCCACAGTAGCATATACATCCAGTCAGATCACATGGCAGTATAACATGAGCAAGACCTTGATCCAACTTAGATATGGTACAGTACAGGTACCTCTAGAACCTGATGTATGATCAAAGTTCTCTCTGAGCTGTTGACCAAGGTTATAAAATAATTTTCTCTTCTTCTAGAACTGACTGAGGAACTGCCATAGTATTGTCTATGGGAGGGTCATCTGTCAATTTATTCTCCAGTCCCACCATTCCCTGTTAATAGCAACACTGTTGGGTTTAACAGATAGTACGGTAGCTAGCCTCCATAACTGTTCCCCATATTCACCACCAGGATTGAGTGGCAGTCATACAGCTCTGCCCCAACATTATATTACAATACAATCAGCTAATAAAAAAAATGTATTTAATATTAAATTGATAATCCTGTTGAAGGACTGACAAGTCCGAAAGCTTGAAAATAAAAAAGTTTTACAAGAAACTTAACCCTGGAAGCTTCATTTATTTTATAATAATCGGCAATACTTATATGACTCAGATAATAAGACCAAATCCAAATAAATAAATAGTGTGCAACATTTCGGTAACATCGTTGTTAACATCTTCATATAAAAGTAAAAAATTAGAGGTAGCGTAGCTGAGCGGTCCAAGGCACTGGTTTAAGGTACAAGTCACTTCAGATATATGGATTCGAATTCCACCGCTGCCATTTTTTTAGGTAGCATGGCTGAGTGGTCTAAGGCGCTGGTTTAAGGCACCAGTCTCTTTGGAGGCATGGGTTCGAATCCCACTGCTGCTGTCACTTTTTTCTACTTTTGTCTGAAGATGGTAATAACACTGTTGCCAAAACATCACACAATATTTATTTATTTTTATTTGGTCTTATTACCTTGTGTTTATAATCTATAATCCAAATTGTGCCTTATCATATGACTCAGATAAACATCCACAAGGCTGAGAGGAACCTACAGAATCCTGCACAAATGGTAATGCCATAATGGATGCAGAAGTTTTAGCAGAAACACAATGCCTGGACAATAGTCAAATGCAATATTACAGCGGTATGGTAGATTAAACTGGTGAAACCGCTGGGAGGGTTCACCACTGATGAGCCAGGCCTTCACAATATTTTATGGTTTCAGTAAGGGCAGTAGAAAAGTGTTTATTTCAAAAGGAATCATACATGCCAAAAATAGTTTAAACTTCTTATAATGTCACTTTCTCACAAAAACTAAAATTATGAGTAAAACTTGGGATAGTAGAACCTCCCTGTAAAGAACACCTAATTACAGAGCCAAAGTGTTCTTTAGGGAGAGGTGTCCTCTTACCGGAGAAATACTAAATAGTAAAAATGGTAATTTTGCAAAATGAAAACTGTCCTTTGTGGAGAGGTCTCCTCTAGCATGAGTGTCCTCTCATGGAGGTTCTACTGTATGTCAAAAAATGTTAAAAGTGAAATCACCCTTTTTTTGTTGTTTTCAATACCCTCTAATCTGGATTCAGTTTGATCTCTTCATTCTTTCCTTAATAAACTTCTAGTTCTTTTATATATAAATAAGATGTAGAGATGTTTTGACCACAATTGCTGGAAGATAACTTTTACAATCACCCTCTTTGTTGCTGTTGTTGTCATGTCCAATGAAGAGCCTGAGATGTCTCCAAGCATCTCTATCACAGCAGCAGCAATGTCCACTATATTGGGTATGTAAAGCTGCTGCTCTGGGTCCATGTCAAATTTCTGTTGTTGTTGTTGTGCCCAATGAAGAGTCTCAGATGTCTCCATGCATCTCTATCACAGCAGCAGCAATGTCCGATATATTGGGTGTGTAAAGTTGCTGCTCTGGGTCCATGTCAAATTTCTGTTGTTGTTGTTGTGCCCAATGAAGAGTCTCAGATGTCTCCATGCATCTCTATCACAGCAGCAGCAATGTCCGATATATTGGGTGTGTAAAGTTGCTGCTCTGGGTCCATGTCAAATTTCTGTTGTTGTTGTTGTGCCCAATGAAGAGTCTCAGATGTCTCCATGCATCTCTATCACAGCAGCAGCAATGTCCGATATATTGGGTGTGTAAAGTTGCTGCTCTGGGTCCATGTCAATTTTCTGTTGTTGTTGTTGTGCCCAATGAAGAGTCTCAGATGTCCCCATACATCTCTATCACAGCAGCAGCAATGTCCACTATCTTGGGTGTGTAAAGTTGCTGCTCTGGGTCCATGTCAAATTTCTGTTGTTGTTGTTGTGCCCAATGAAGAGTCTCAGATGTCTCCATGCATCTCTATCACAGCAGCAGCAATGTCCACTATATTGGGTGTGTAAAGCTGCTGCTCTGGGTCCATGTCAATTTTCTGTTGTTGTTGTCGTGTCCAATGAAGAGCCTCAGATGTCTCCATGCATCTCTATGACAGCAGCAGCAATGTCCACTATATTGGGTGTGTAAAGCTGCTGCTCTGGGTCTATGTCAAATTTCTGTTGTTGTTGTCGTGTCCAATGAAGAGCCTCAGATGTCTCCATGCATCTCTATGACAGCAGCAGCAATGTCCACTATATTGGGTGTGTAAAGCTACTGCTCTGGGTCCATGTCAATTTTCTGCAAGGCTGCAGCTATTTGGGCATGATAATATGTGAGTAGGTGTTAGTTCCACACCAGGATAGTTGTTGCATGTCCTTAGGTTCTTGTGCCATCTAGATGTATTGTCATTCATTTATAGTATTTTGTTCTAAGTCTTGTTATAGTTTTTGTCAGTTTTCTCTCAGAGTTTATTTCACATATTTGATCTTTTCTTATTTTAATCCCCCTCTTTGTTCACAGGACATAAGCAACATTAACCTAACCTGATTGTTTCCTAACCTTATAAAATTACTTAATTTAAATCTAAAAATAATAACTCTTAACATAAGTTGAGAAAAAAGGCATTTCCTGATCGTGCAACTTGCTGATGGTTTTCCCCATCTATTGGAATAAATATCAATTAATCGTTGATTTTTAATTATTTCAGAATTGGCCAAATACCATTTCTTGATTAATCAGGAAAAACTAACCACGTACGCGTTTCGGGCTGTTGGCCCTCATTGGTGTGGTACAAGCTGTACCTCAATGACCAAAAAGTCTGGTCTTTGGGCATCTTGAAAAACCATGAAACAGGTATTTAGGCCAGAAGGGCTTGAGAACACCAATCAATGTGAAAAATAGTACAAAAGTGAATTTGTATTTGGATCAAGTGGATAAATTAGGAAAAAGAGCATTTCCTGATCGTGCAACAAATATTAACATAAGATTTATATTAATTTTCAAAATCACAAATATATTCAACAAAAATGAGGAAGATCATGAAGAAATGTTCTAACTGCCATGATCTCTTCCCTATGAGAATATCAAAATAGAATTTCTTTACCTCTCAATTCATCTATTTGTACATCTACCAACTACCTGTCAATTCTGTTTGAGTTCATCTCTTTCCATTAATAACTAAAAAATATTTGTAGTTTTATTTCTAAATTCTCTTTTCTCCTTTGTATTAACATGAGTGTAAAATTTTCAAATAAATTTACAGAAAACTATGATTATCAATTTGTATACAATTTTATAATTGGTTCATATTAAACAAGAATTTTAAAAGAAAATTTGCTAAAAATTTATGATTTCTAACACGTTTATAATGAGATGAAAGATAGATGAATACTTTTAAATATAAGACTTTTAATAAATACTTTTGGTGGTAAAATTTGATCTATCTTTTAAGAATGTGACATAAACAAACTCTTCTATTTATATACAAAATCAATATGTATGTCTCAATCAGTTTATAATACCTAGATCCAATAACAATTAATATTTAAATATACAAAATCAAAAATAAATTTTGATTTCATAATGTCAACCACAAATTTGTTTACAAAAATAGAGAAAATTGTAAATGTTTTGATGTACAAGATTTGAATATTATTACAAACCTTTAACATCGAAGTACCTTTACCGCTCGAATTAAGAGCTGTTGTCATTTTAATTTTAACTCAAAATTTTTGTTAAGCTCGAAATATTAAAAACCTACTTTGTTATTTTTCGTTTACTAATTACGCCGATCATCATTCTTTATCATTAGTGCTCGATTTAAAGATTGAAAAATAATAAAAAATAACAGCGTATCTCTTTATTTAAAAATGTTTGGGCATCTTTATTTTCAAATATTTGCAAATGTGATTAGCCTAATTTATATTAGGTTATAATTATTTGAATTTGATAGATTTTTTCAATTTATTGTCTTATTTTTTTTTTAGAAGTGTCTTCAATAAATTAAAAAATTATTTAATTCGTCAAATTACTATTTAAAAATCTATAAATAGTAAATTTCTAAAATATTAGAATCATAAAATGCCTCGAAGCGTTTTATATGAACACTTACTTTCCTACTCTCAATACACACAGAGAAGCATTCAATGAAAAACTTGCCAGTAAAAATAATACATATGGTTAATAAATGTTCAGAGTCAGAATTTCATAGAAAATATATAGACGAGTGGAGATTGATTGAATTTCAACCTCTTCTCCCTCCAATTTGTGCTATGAATGGATGAATAAGTTTAGAAAAGTGAAATTTTAATTTAGTCTTCTTGAATCATTAGGAAATGTCTAAAAACAGGTCTAAAAGAGTATAGATGGAAATTATAGTGGTAAAATAATAAAATAGCATTTCTTGATTGTACAACTGAAGATGAAAAATCATGAGAACAAGAATTCGTTTTATTTGCGGAAATTGGCCAATGAACTTGTGTATGTATTTGATGACCCATAAATGAAGACCTTAGCATTACTTTTTATTATTATTAAGGAAAGGATATTAAAGGCAATGGTGTAAATACCTAACAATATGTTTAAGAAGTACTTTCAAAATATAGAAGGTAATATGATGAAAAAGCACATTGGTCCCAAACGACCCCAGAGACCTGTACAGCCGACACTACACTGACCTGAAGCGGAAATGTAGTCTGCTTTTCTTACCAAATCAAGAAAGGGTATAGATTGACTTCTAGAGATGAAAAATTAACATACAGTGGGGATTTTACAATAGATTCTGTTATTAGAGCAATGTTTAGCCGCACAATCAGGAGATATGTGTATGTGATTTTGCACTATACTAAAAATATATAATTCAAAACCTATTTCGAAAGCTATATGGCTCTAGTGGCTTTAGTAATGCTCCCTAAGGAGCTATATTTCAAAAGGTTATCCACATTATAGTTTATAAATTTTCGAATAGTAGAATATTCAATATTTTGAAATGTTATTTTCAGGGGAATATACTTTGTATTCTATATAAAATTGTTTAGCATTTTTGAATGAATATTTAATTGAATTTGACGCAGCTTGAAAATTATTAGTTTACACGCAGTTTTGAATATATATAAATTATGTCAAAGCAAGATATGTGATATATAGCTAGCAATAAATATGTATATATATATGTTTCTATGAAAATGTTAATCTGCAAGACGCAGGTTATCATCATCCCTTTTTGATTTGTTTTTGTCACTTTTTGGCGTTTCAAAAATAAACAATAAAAGGCTGTATCAGACTTTACTAAGACAATAAAGATTTGCTAAAAATAAATGTGTACGAAGATGTTGCATTTGGCGACGAGGATATAAGAGTAAGTACCCTCGAATTTTGAAGTAAATATTTTTAGAAAATATCTTTGTTTTTGCATATAATTGAA